ATAATAGAGTAAAATAATAAATGTAATAGTAATAATAGAGTAAAATAATAAATATAATAACAATAATAAATAGAGGAAAATAAGAAATGTAACAAAAATAAATCAAGTAAAATAATAAATGTAATAATAATAGAGGAAAATTTAACAATAATAATAAATAGAGTAAAACACTAAATGATTCCAATAAAATTACATGAATTGAGGCATCAGGAGGTTCAGTGTTTTCAATATTTACATAAAACTGTAATTTAAGATAAGAATGTCCAACTCTGATTAAACCATTATTCTAACCTTTTTCAAATGTGCTTAAGCATCCTTCCAATAATAATAAAGTAAAATAATAAATGTAATAAAAATAGTAATTGAGTAAAATAATAAATGTAGCAATAATAATATAGTAAAATAATAAATGTAATAATAATAACAAATACAGTAAAATAATAAATGTAACAATGATAATAATAAATAGAGTAAAATAATAAATGTAAAAATAACAATAATAAATATAATAAATAGTAAAATAATAAATGTAATAATAATCAAAGGTAAAGGTTGTCCCCTGACATTAAGTCCAGTTGTGTCCGACTCTGGAGTGTGGTACTCATTTCCATTTCTAAGCCGAAGAGCTGGTGTTGTCCGTAGACACTTCCAAGGTCATGTGGCCAGCATGACTGCATGGAGCGCCGTTACCTTCCTGCCTATTGATCTACACACATTTGCATGTTTTTGAACTGCTAGGTTGGCAGAAGCTGCGGCTGACAGCGGAAGCTCTCGCCACTCCCTGGATTAGAACCTGTGACCTTTTGGTCAACAAGCTCAGCAGCTCAGCACTTTAACCCACTGCGTAACCGGGGGCTCCATATAATAAATAGTAAAATAATACATGTAATAATTTATTTATTTATGATATTTATATGCTGCCCTATGTAAATGCAATATTTTATATTATTACCATAGCACAATATTAGTATTATATATTAATAGCTTGTACTATACCACTATACTGTAATATTATTAGTAATATTGTATTTAAGATAAAATATATAATTATAAAATTGTAGTATTATGATTAGTACTGTATTGTATTACATTACAATATTATAAATATATATGTATATACAATATAGTATATTATTAACATAATAATATTATAATAATTAGAGTAAAATAATAAATGTAATAATAATATCAGAGTGAAATAATAAATAACTGTGACTTGAGTATAATCCGGGGGGTTCTTTTTCCGCCTAAGAGAGGGCTGTAAAACTCAGCTTATACTCGAGTATATACAGTATCCTATAGATGCAGCCTAGAATCACATTAGCTTTTCTAGCTGCTGCATCATACTGTTGATTGGTCAGTTGCTTAGACTCCTAGACCCCTTTTACGTGGTCTGTTCTCAAGCCAGATGTCACTCATGTTAAATGTTGTACTGGGTGTCACCAGCTAGTCCCCTGCCATCAGAGGGAAATAATAATGAAAAGGAGACTGTACTAGATGCATTTCTGTGTGTGATGAATCTGGTCATCCTTAACTGTTTTCTGCCCCAGTGGGCTGCTTCTGCCTCATGGCTGGGCCTGTTGTGTGGCATGTGCTTTCATAGACAAAAATACGTTTTCTTGGATACACGGTTGTCAGGCAGGTATGTACGTGTGCTGATTCAGCATAGCTGGCAAAAGCAATTGTGTTTTTCCCCTTTTTATCAACTGAATCAAAAATGGAAGTCCTTTTGTTAGTGGCCCCTTTGTATTTGGAATGCCCTCCACAGAGAGGTTTGTGTAGTCCTTTTGGCATCAGCTAAGCAGCCATATGTTTTCAGGTGTTTTATGTTACACCTCAATGATTTTATTTGCTCTCCTTTATTATCCTTGTCTTATATTAGAGTTCCTTTCCATTATATTTAGGTTTGAGCAGTCTTTTGTCTGCACCATTCTATACACTCCATGCAGTCATGCCGACTACATGACTTCGGCTTACTACTTTTAATTTATGTGTGTTATGGTGACAATTTTTATGCTTATATTTTGTTTTGTTAATCTTATAGTTATGTTGTTTTTACCTTGTATGTTTTGTGATGTTACCTGGGAAATGCTCTGAGTCCCCTCGGGGAGATGGAGCAGTATATGAATAAAATTATTATTATTATTATTATCATGTAAATTGATGCCGGACTATAGGTAAATGCTAGCATCTTTTTTGCTTTGGTGATATAGTATTTGAACAGACCTGTCCTTTGTGTGTGTGTGTATATATATATATATATATATACTCACACACACACATCATGAAAAGTGGAGAGTAAATCATATGCCGAAGGTGTGGCTCTCTAGATGTTATTCAACTGAAATTCTATAATAATAATAATAATAATAATAATAATAATAATACTTTATTTATACCCCGCTACCATCTCCCAAGGGACTCGGTGCGGCTTACATGAGGCCAAGCCCACAATACATCAATACATGCAATAACAACCACAATACAAAGCAAAATACAAATATTAATACAAAGCAATTAAAAATAAAACTCATACATAAATAGCATAAACATTGCACAATAGCACAAAACACATTTAAAAACTATGGCTGGACCAAATGTCATTAAAGTTAAAAAAATATATGCTGGGCATGAACAAGATAGAGGTAGTGACTCCCACAAGTCCCTGCCATCACAGCCATTGGTTAGAACTGATGGGAGTTGCACTGCAGTTGTGGGCTTACCTCTTTCCTGTCTCAAAATAATCTTAATGTGTTATGATAGTAAGTTTTTCCCGTGACATCAAGTCCAGTCGAGGGGTTGGTGCTCATCTCCAATTTTAAGCCGAAGAGCCAGCGTTGTCCCTAGACACCTCCAAGATCATGTGGCCGGCATGACTGCATGGAGCGTCATTACCTTCCTGCCAGAGCTGTACCTATTGATCTACTCACATTTCCATGTTTTCGAACTGCTAGGGCTGAGAGCGGAAGCTCACACCGCTCCCCAAATTTGAACCTGCGACATTTTGGTCAACAAGCTTAGCAGCTCAGCAGTGTTATGATATGGAACTAAAATAGTGATAGTCAAAGGAGTTAGCATGTTGCTGTGGCACAAACATTCGGTGATGTCTCTGGAGGCCAGGGTTCAAATCCCAGTTGGCCTTGGAAACCCATTGGGCGACTTTGGGGAAGACACACACTCTCGGCCTCGGAGTAGGCAACGACCAACTTCTCCTGAACAAACCTTACCACATGATAGGGTCACCATAAGTTGATGATGATTTCAAAGGCACACAATAATAGTAACAACATGGATATATGGCATTGATTTTCTAATCTCAATAACTCCTAATTTATATTCAAATCCTGTTGTTTTCGTTGAAATTGCTCTAGTCCAAAGACTACTGTATATACTCCAGTATAAGCCAAGTTTCTCAGGCCATTTTTAAGGCTTATATGTGAGTCAAAGTTATTTATTATTTTACTCTATTATTATTATATTTATTATTTTAGTCTTTATTATTATATTTACATTATTTTATGTTGAATTACATTATGTTAAATTTTTTATACTGTTTTTATACTTTTTATACTGTTTTATATTGTTTTATTGTTATATTGTTATTTAAATTGCATATTTATGTTTTTGGTTGTGGGCACCATGGGGTGCCGTTTTGTTAGTCGCCCTGAGTCTCTCTGCGGAGGTCGAGATAGAACGGGATACAAATGTCTGAAATAAATAAATAAATAAATTTACTGTTATTTTTATGACATTTATTATTTTTCTCTATTTATTATTTTTATTACTTGTATGATTTTGCTCTATTATTACTGTTAATATTACATTTCCATTATTTTACCCTATCATTATTATTATTATTACATTTATTATTTTACTTGATTTATTATTATTACATTTATTATTTTCCTCTATTTATTATTGTTATTATTATATTTATTATTTTACTCTATTATTACTATTATTATTACATTTCCATTATTTTACTCTATTATTATTATTATATTTATTATTTTACTCTCTTATTATTGGAAGGATACGTAAGCACATTTACATTGAAGAAGGTGAGAATAATGGTTTAATCAGAGTTGGACAGTCTTACTTTAAATTACAGTTTTGCGTAAATATTCAAACACATTGAACCTCCTGATGCCTCAATTAATGTAATTTTATTGGTCAAGGTAAAGATATCTATTTTGATTTTGAAATTTGCCAGTAGCTGCTTAATTTCCCATCCTCGGCTTATACTCGAGTCAATACGTTTCCCCAATTTTTTGTGGTAAAATTAAGTGCCTCGGCTTATATTTGGGTCGGCTTGTACTTGAGGATATATAGTAATTGATAAATGTTTAACTCCATCTATGTTAGGAGAAACTGAGTCCCTCTTGTCTTTCAGAATTAATTATTCATTGAGCATGAAAATTGGTTGGACTTTCACCATAGCTTTCACGATAATTCTTTGACAGAGTAGAAGATTAATATTGTACATAGAAGGCTTTAATACGTGTTTTCCGATTAAGAAATAAAACACAGCTCGTTTTTGTGTCCATTTCAATAGAGTGGACATTATGTCTCCCGCAAGTATTGTTGGACAGCGCCTACCATCATTCCTCACAAGGGGCTATCTTGCCTAGGGTTGCTGGGTGTTGCAGTCCATCACCATCCTAAGGACTTTAATTCTAACCCTACCTAAACTGTCCCATGAAATACATTTTAGTATTCTATTAAACAACTCGATTGTTTAATGACGAAAATGCGCCCTTTGTACAGCAGCATAATACGCCGCCAATGTAGCATTAAACTGTATTATATATATTTTTAGTACCGCTGCCAATGTATTGCTGTTAAGAAATTATCTGCTGAGCCAGCAAAGCCTGGCTCATTAGCAGCATAATTGGATCCAGTGCATGGTGCAAATGTTACATGGCTTTCCAGCTTCAGTAAGGAAAATCCTGATGCTTCTGGCTTGAATGTTAAAATGCTTCTTTTCTTATATTACGCAGCTATGATGACTTCATGGGGTCAGCCAAAAACGTGATTAGTGAATCTGTTGATGTAGAGGATGGTTACGGCATGATGGTACGTTATCTACTGCAATATTGCAATGTCTTAATTTTGTTGTCATTGCTTGGGTTATATTATGCAACTTAAATTGACTGCAAAAGAAAGTATTAGGCTTACTACAGATATAATGTTGGTTCGCAACACACCATGCTTTACACATTTTTAATTGCGATAAATACAAAGAGAAAATGGTGTTTGGAAATTTCTAGTTTTAAAAAACAAGGCCATGAGCGATGTTCATTAAAGATTTCCCTTAACTCACTTCCTGTGGAGTGAGAGCAATGAAACTTGGCTCGGTTCTGAGTCCTTCTCTCCATGGATGCCACCATCTAGGACCGTGATGGTGAACCTATGACATGTGTGTCAGCACTGACACYCATGGCTATTTTTAATGACTTGCGGCCYCGTACAGAGAAGTACACCTTATAAGAGCCAATCTAATTCCATCCTTAKATTTGTAAAAGGCTCTACAAATTTAACATCTGCATGTTTGAGCATTGTTCACTCCATAACTCAGCATGGAATATACATTTTTCTTATTTAAACTATAAATATTGCAAAATTACGTTTATTTTTTCTTGAAGTTGACACCCCACCCAASTTATGGTCATGTTTTTGGCAAATTTTGACACACCAAGCTCAAAAGGRTGCCCATCACTGATCTAGGGACACATGCTTCTCCCATCTTTTTTAGCAACTGTAAACACCTCGCTTGTAGAAGTTGACAGGCTGCTCCAAAAACCAGCTTGTGACTTRGGAAATCAGAGTCTCATCATCTGAAAAATGCTTGCCCTTCAAAAATAACTTCCTTGTTGGAAAGAGGTGGAAGTCRGATGGTGCGAGGTRGGGTGAATAAGGGGGATGTGGTTGAATTTCAAAGCCACAAGAGCATGCTTTGTCCATTTGAGCAACATGTGAGTTGTGAACTGGTGCATTGCCTTGCAGAAGGCGGTCACCTTTGGTGAGCATGCCACATCTCTTGGTTTCGATGGTCTCCTGCAATTTCCACAGCAGTGAGACATAGCATTATTTAGTTATTATTTTATTTAAAACATTTATATTCCGCCCTTCTCACCCCGAAGGGGACTGAGGGCGGAGCACAGCATATACATGGCAAACATTCAATGTTGGGACATAGATTCACATACAATATATAAACATTAAAAACATTTATCTCGATATTAAAATACGCCATTTAAACCATCCTACTCATCCTCATCAAATCTAATTGCCCTGGTCATCTTTCCTATTGCCGCTTTATTGCCCTGTCCTGAAAGCTTGGTCCCACATCCAAGGTTTTACCATCCTTCTAAAGGACAGGAGGGAGGGGGCCGACCTGATCTTACCAGTGATCATGATACCCTTTGCTAGTAACTCCATCAATACTACTCTGTGCTGGTCCCAAAATACTGTGAGCATGACCTTGCCTGTTGAGAGTTGAGTACATGCCTTCTTTAGAGGCAGTAGGTCATGATGCCTCCATTGCATTGACTGGACTTGAGTCTCAGGATCAGAATGATGGACCCATCTTTCATCCTGTGTGATGAGTCTGTTGAAAAATCCTCCTGGTTTCCATGGCACATCATCAATAGAGCCTGAGAGTATTCGACTCGTTCCTGCTTCTGGAAAGGTGTGAACAGCCGGGGGACCCAGCGAGTGGACACTTTAGGCATGTGAAGACAGTCTTGGGTGATGTTTTCCACGGACCCCACACTAATCTTGACATTTTGGGCTAGGTGGAGAATGGTTATGCAACAATTTTTTTTAAATTGTGACTTCCATTTGCTGGATGGTGTGTTCATAAATAGTAGGGTGGGGTCATCTTGGAATTGGAGCTGTTTCCACCAAGATCCAACCACATTGGAATTGATGATGCCAGTGCTTGACTACATCACATGATGGGGGAATCATCACCATAAATGTCATTCATCTCATCAGACATCTCCTTTGGTATGCAGCCTTTCCAGTTAAGAAACTGGAGGACTCCTCTGTATTCCGCTGGGTCCATTCTCAAACCTCACTCCATTTCAGCACCTGTCACATCAAGACCATTATCAGTTCTGAGTTGTAAATTGGCATGTAACCTATGGAGATTTCTATCATTATACATGTGCAGTTTCAGCAACCTGTGATAAACAGAAGTGGGCCAGTGGAATCTTTAATGAACGCTCCTCATATTTGTGTGTCTGTTGTAACTATTTGCCAGAGTTTGGCAAACAACAGGAGCCTTGCTGTTTATATTTGCCAGCATTTGGTGACACGTCTTGAAAAATGACATCTCTTTGAAAGGGCCAACCCTGTGTGGATCTGTATCTTCTCAACAAAATTATGGTGGGGAGGGTTTGAAACTTGAAGCACTCCGGAGTCCAGCTTATCTCATTGCCTTCTTGTAGGGAGGAAGATTGAATGTAAAACGGAATTGTGTTCCTTCTATACAATGTATTTTATTCAACCCATTGGAGAGTCACTTGAAATCTCAAAAGCCTCTTGGTGGGTTTCCATTATAGCTTTAGACCCATGAGAGACCATTTTTAACAGTGTCTCTTGGTTATCGATCCATCAGACAACATCAGATAGGTATAAAAGCCTCCTTTGACTCACCAGGTTGAAGTAAGTGACAGGAAAGGACGTCCCTTCTATTTTTCTATAGCAGATACAGGAACCCTGAAGTTTTTGTTCCTCGGTATCTATTTCTCACCTATGACCACAGCACCACACAAGAGTCCAGCATATAAACAAACAGTTTATTATAAAAGCACATAATATATATACATGAAAAAGCAGGAAAGGAGAGGAATAATCCAAAAAGGATTAGCTGTAGCAACTCAGGGTAGTTTTCACCTTGCTCAAGACACCAGTACACACCAAGGCTGTAGTTTTGTAGTTTATTGAGAAAAGGCAAAATCAAAACAGAAATAAAGATGCAGAAGTTCAATAGGCAAAACAGAGTCTTAAACGCAAAGGCAAGGTTTCCAAGATCCACAGGCAAATAACATGAAGCATAATCCTTAGCAATGGTCAAACAAGAGTCCATGGCAAACAGGTAAAATCAGGATCAGAATCCCAGTCTCCAAAAAGCCAGGAGAGTTTAGCAAAAGCCGAGGCTATCCCACAGAAGTTAACGTGTAAGAAGTAACATCGGACTGACAAGAAATGCCTGTCAGCTACATGATTAAATAACCCTCATGAACATGAAAGCATTGCATTGACCTTTGGCTTCCCTCTTGCTAGCAAGGCATGTGCTTCTCCGAACCCTTAATTGCAAACGGTTCTGTCTGCTCATTAATTCACTATTATCTTCAAACTCCTTATCTTTGCCCAGCTGGGCTGGATCACTCTGGGAACCGAAAGGAGTCTCCAGCTGTTCTTGTGGGATTGCACTGTCTCTATCTAAAGGCACATTCCTTTCCCCGGGGAACAGGTTTTCTGTTTCTTCTTCAGAAGGCACACTATCAGCCCCGTCTGGAGCATGTACAGGAATCTCAAGTACAAGAATCTGAAACCTATCAGTCTCCTCGTCATCCTGCAGAAAATCATGCTCAGGCTCAGAAGACCCAGACCAGGCCCAGAAGGGCCAAACAGTTCAGTTTCGGACTCACACTCAGACTGAGCCACAACATTAGCAATAGATGACAGGCACACAGGAATCCAAATGTCTCATAGAAAGCCCAAAGGTAACACAGTCAGGGAATAGACAAAAGTCACAAGCACATAATAAATCCATAAGCAAAAGGTATACTTAAGACAACTTGAGTGGGAATCATAAAATAAGAACATAGAAAACTTCTAGAATACTTGAATCCAAAACCAAGACTTGACTTGACTTAACACAGTGACTAGGAAACTCAAGGCCTGACTTCTTGCTCGTTGTCTGAACTGAAGTTAAGAGTTCATGGTGGCTATTAGGAAACAGACATGGAGTCATTGTGTCTTCCACAGACTTTCGCTATCTCTTTCCCACAAAGCCTTATTGATCTGCCCTAATCTGCAACGTAAATCCTTACTTAGTTCCCACTTGCCAGGTGTTTTCCTGTGAGTGTTTTCTGCCAATTCCTCTTCCCTAGAGCCCTTATCTAGGGATGTTGTTTCTAACTCCTATGATTGACCTTGGAGCTCAGACTCAGAGGCAATTGCATTCTCTTGGCCTATATCACTATCTGAAGTAACTGCTTTTCTTGGCCTGTATCATTCCCTTGACCTGTACCGCTTTGAATCCCAGGAAAGCCCACAATCCCTTCTGAGTCTAACTCATTAGAGAATCCATCAGTCCCTAACTGTAGTAACTGCTGAGCTACAATCTGTATAAATAAAAATGTAAGGTTCGTTTGTGGGATTAACAGAACTCAAAAACCACTGGGCCAATTGACACCAAATTTTGACAGCATACACCTAACAACCCAATGTATGTCATTCACTCAAAAAATTTTGATTTTGTCATTTGGGAGTTGTAGTTGCTGGGATTTATAGTTCACCTACAATCAGAGGCGGCCCTAGGTAATTTTCAATGATAAGCAAACAGTATTTTGGTGCCCCCCCCCCCAACCAATCACTGATATATATATATAGAGAGAGAGAGAGAGAGAGAGAGAGGCAGGCATGGACAAATTTTGGCCCTCCAGGTATTTTGGACATCCTACTGGTTGTTTGGAATTGTGGAAGTTGAAGTCCAAAACACATGGAGGGCCTAAGTCGGCCCATGACATATATATATATATATATATATATATATATATATATGGCGCTAACCATCCCCTGCCAGTCTGGTCATCTTGAAAAGAAAGTAATGAGAAAGTTGGTTTCTAATATATGTAATTTCTTGATGCTTGTGGGTAAACAGTATTTCTTGTTGTTTCTTTGTCAGTATTGACGTAGCGATTGTCTGGTTTGCCTACTCTGGAACATAAAACATATCATTGTCCTTCTTTAGGGATCCCTTTCAAATCTATGATATTATATCTTCCATGTGTGTGTGTGTTTGAATTCTATAGATCTATCTATATCTATGGCAGGATGGCTCTTTATCAGGAGGGCTTTGATTGTTTTCTTGCTCTGGTGAAGGGAGTTGGTCTGGATGGCCATAAGGCAGCATTTCTCAACCTGGGGGTTGAGACCCCTGGGGGGATCATGAGGGGGTGTCAGAAAGGTCGCCAAAGACCACTGGAAAACAGTGTTTTCTGTTGGTCATGGGGGATTCAATGTGGGAAGTTTGGCCCCATTCTATCGTTAGTGGGGTTCAGAATGTTCTTTGATTGTAAGTGAACTATAAATTCAAGTAACTACAATTCCCAAATGTCAAGATCTATTTCCCCCCCAAACTTCACCAATGTTCACATTTGGGCACATGGAGTATTTGTGCCAAGTTTGATCTAAATCCTTCATTGTTTGAGTGCACAGTGCTCTCTGGGTGTAGGTGAACTACAACTCCAAAACTCAAGGTCAATGCCCACCAAACCCTTTCAGTATTTTATGTTGGCCATGGGAGTCCTGTGTGCCAAATTTGGTTCAATTCCATCATTGGTGGAGTTCAGAATGCTCTTTGATTGTAGTTAACTATAATCGCAGCAACTACAATTCCCAAATGACCCTGGAAGGAGGGCCAAAATTGGCCCAGGCCTATGTATGTATATGTATGTATGTATGTATGTGTGTGTGTGTGTGTATACACACACACACACACACACACACACGGAGCAGCACAGGAGTGAGGAGGAGGCTGCTGCCAAAGAGGGCCTCAGCAGCGGCAGCTTCCCCCTCGCCCCTCTGTTGCTCCGTCATCCTTCCTCTCCAGACTGGGCGCCAGGCTTGGGAGCCCAGCCTGGCGAGGAAGTGACCCTTTTAGACACGGAGCAGCAAAGGGGCGAGGAGGAGGCTGCTGCCGAAGAGGGGCTCAGCGGCAGCAGCTTTCCCCTCACCCCTCTGCTGCTCCGTGCGCCTTCCTCCCCAGGCTGGGCGCCAGGCTTGGGAGCCCAGCCTAGCGAGGAAGGGACGCTTTTCACTATACAGCAGCAGAGGGGCGAGGAGGAGGCTACTGCTGAAGAGGGGCTCAGCGGCGGCAGCTTTCCCCTTGCCCCTCTGCTGCTCCGTGCTCCTTCCTCCCCAGGCTGGGCGCCAGGCTTGGGAGCCCAGCCTGGCGAAGAAGGGACTCTTTTAGACACGGGGCAACAAAGGGGCGAGGAGGAGGCTGCTGCCGAAGAGCGCCCCTGGGGGAAATAAAGTGTTCCGCAACGGCTTACTTTGCGTAACGGTTGAGCCGGCCCTGCCTACAATCAAAGAGCATTCTGAACCCCACCAACGATGGAATTGAACCAAACTTGGCACACAGCTCTCCCATGACCAACAGAAAATACTGGAAGGGTTTGGTGGGCATTGACCTTGAGTTTTGGAGTTGTAGTTCACTACATCCAGAGAGCACTGTGGACTCAAACAATGATGGATCTGGACCAAACTTGGCACAAATATTCCATATGCTCAAATATGAACACAGATGGAGTTTGGGGGAAATAGACCTTGACACCTGGGATTTGTAGTTACTGGAATTTATAGTTTACCTACAATCAAAGAGCATTCTGAACCCCACAAACGATAGACTTGAGCAAACTTCCCACACAGAACCCCCATGACCAATAGAAAATACTTAAGGCCATCTAGTCCAACTCCCTTCACCAGGGCAAGAAAACGTAATAAAATACTGTTTACCCACAAGCAGAAAGAAATTACATATATTAGAAAACAACACTTTCTCATTACTTTATTTTCCAGATCACCAGACTGGGCCACAGCAACACGTGGCAGGGGACAAATCTATATAAATAAAAATGTAATGTTCGTTTGTGGGATTAACATAACTCAAAAACCACTGGACGAATTGACACCAAATTTGGACACAAGACACCACTCAGGCCAACGAGTGACCATCACTCATAAAAACACTGAAAAACACAGTGGAAGGGACTTAAAAAACCAAAAAACAAAAATTACATTACAATGCATGCGCAAAACCACATATATACACAAACAAAACACATATACACAGACAGGGCCACAGCAACGCATGGCAGGGGACGGCTAGTAGTATCATAGAATAATAGAGTTAGAAGAGACCCCATGGGCTGTCTAGTCCAGCCCCCTGACAATAAATGTTTTCTGAGTGGTCATAGGGCCTAAGGATTACGAAATGGATTGGGTGTAGCATCACAACATGGTTTGCAAAGCCAGTCTATGATATGTCCAGTAAACCATGGTTTGCGTGGCTAGCATGCCAGCATCTGAAACCAAGAAGAGTTAGACTGCAAAACACAGTTTCAAGAAATTATGTTTAGATGTTGTGCTTGAATTGATAAGCCATGGTTTGGATTTTTTTCTGATAATATTTGACTATTCTCAGGGAAGGTGAGGAAGTGATTTGCTTCTACATGTGGAGACACTTTTGAGTCTCAACTACTTTCACCAGAAGCTATGATTTGGGCATTGTTTCTCAACCCATTCTGTCATTGGAATATTCCATCCTAGGAAGTGAGAGTCCCACCAAACAAAGTGGAGCTGCGTTCTGCATAACGTGAATGTATTGTTGTCCTGTTTCTTCTCAGGCTTCTTTCCAGCGCTCTAACAGTCATGACAAGGTCCGAAAAATTGTGGCCGAGGAGGGTCGCACAGCAAGGAATTTGATTGCATGGAGCGTGCCACTGGAAAACAAAGAAGATGAGGGTGCGTATTACTGTGTGAATGTGTTAGCAGGGAGAGGGGAGATATTGGCATCCAAGGAGTCCGTGTGCTTCTCACACAATGTAAAAATGTGCAAACTCTCAATCATATTTGATGACCGTAATTGGCTTGTAGTTCTGTGCCTACATCATGTGACTTTCATCTCAACTGAGGGATGGAGCAAAAGTGTAATTTAATGTCTTCTCCACAAATTTCCAGTCCAGCTCTTCATAATGTAACATTTTGAATGGGCATCATAGTGAATCTAAGTCTGGAAGTTCTGAAAGAAGATCATTAGTATTTTCCTGACGGGAGTTGTTCTTTTCTGTAATTGCAGAATGAGAAAGCAGTAAGAAATAAGCTCTAAAATTCTAAATGTCTCTGTGTGCCTGATTTCCTGTGAAGCAGAGATGTTGACCAGTTCCGTTGCTTTGTGATACCTCTATAGTCTTATTCTGTGGCCGTAGGACAGTGGTTCTCAACCTTCCTAATGCCATGACCCCTTAATGTAGTTCCTCATGTTGTGGTGACCCCCAACCATAACATTATTTTCGTTGCTACTTCATATTTGTAAGTTTGCTACTGTTATGAGTCGTAATGTAAATATCTGATATGCAGGATGTATTTTCATTCACTGGACCAAATTTGGCACAAATACCTGATATGCCCAAATTTCAATATTGGTGAGGTGGGGGGGGGGGTGATTTTGTCATTTGGGAGTTGTAGTATCTCCTGGTATGAACCATCATGAAACTTAAGATCATCTGGAGAGGCCCTGCTCTTGACCCTACCGACGTCGCAAACGCGATTGGTGGGGATGAGGGACATGGCCTTCTTTTCAGTGGCCCCCTACCTCTGGAACGTTCTCCCCAAAGACATCAGAATGGCCACCTCCCTCCTGTCTTTTAGAAGAAAAATCAAGATCTGGCCTTAGGACCAAGTGTTCGATTAGTGAGCAGCAAGTAAAAGAAGATTTTAACACTTATGGCAATGATTTGACCCGAACTGGATTTTAGACTCTGATTTGAATAGGCATGTGTTAATCAATTGTTTTAATTATTGTTTTAATATTTTTAATATTTTAATGTATTGTTGATTGTTTTATTATGATGACACCATATGGTGTTTGTGAGGCCATCCTGAGTCCCCCCTTGGGGGGTGGGAAGGGTGGGGTATAAATATAGAAAAAAATTAAATAAATAAACAAATAAGATCTGGCTTTGGGACCAATAAAATAAAATAAATAAATAAAATAAATAGTTGCTGGGATTTATAGTTCACTTACAATCAAAGAGCATTGTGAACTCCACCAACGATGGAATTGAACCAAACCTGGCACACGGAACTCTCATGTCCAACAGAAAATACTGGAAGGGTTTGGGGTTATTGACCTTGAGTCTGGAAGTTGTAGTTCACTTACATCCAAAGAGCACTGTGGACTCAAACAATGATGGATCTGGACCAAACTTGATACAAATACTCAATATGCCCAAATGTGCACACAGGTGGAGTTTGGGGGAAATAGACCTTAACATTTGGGAATTGTAGTTGCTGGGATTTTTAATTCACCTTCAATCAAAGAGCATTCTGAACCCCACCAACAATAGAATTGGGCCAAACTTCCCACACAGAACCACCATGACCAACAGAAAATACTGTGTTTTCTGATGGTCTTTAGCGACCCCTTTGACACCCCCTCACTACACCCCCAGGGATTCCAACTCCCAGGTTGCGAAACGCTGCCATAGTGCAATGCATATATTGTAACGTAAGTCCTGAATAGGTATTGTTGCCTGAACTATTTTTTAAAATCTTTTCACAGGAAAACCAAAATGGCAAATTGGAGGAAAATCTAAGAAAGCAACTCAGGGAATTCACAAAACAACAAAACAGGTATAAGTCTTCTCACTACTATCCTGCTTGGTTTCTGATCTTAAAGAGCTAATCCTGCAAGCCTGGTATTAAGCATTAATTTTTTTTAAAGAAAAGTTAGTATCAGAAATATTAAAAATTAACTCGGTATTTTTGATTACAAAAAATTAACTTGGTATTTTTGATTACAAAAGTGTGATGGTGAGTCAGTCACGAAAAGAGTTATTAGACCGAAACCTGTTAGAGTCAGTGGATCAAAGTTAGTGTTGTCCTGAGGAGAGTGAGAAGGCCAATGCCTGTTAGAGTTAGTGGACCAAAGCTAGTGTCATCCTGTGGAGTGTGAGGTAAACCTCTGTGAGCGAAGCCTCGTGTGAGAAAGCTTCAGTGTGAAGACTACTGCATTTAAAGCTACTATGTATTAGTTTTTGTTATGGAAACCGTGTTCTTGTAAATATGAGTTGAGAAGGCCAAAACCTGTTAGAGTTAGTGGACCAAAGCTAGTGTCGTCCTGTGGAGTGTGAGGTAAACCTCTGTGTGAGAGAAGCCTCGTGTGAGAAAGCTCCAGTGTGAAGGCTGCTGCATGTAAAGCTACTAGTACTCGTTTTTGTTATGGGAACCTTGTTCTTGTAGATAGTGCAACCATATTATTTTGCTATAAAGAAAAGCCTCCTATGGAAGAGCTAACATTGGTCTGTGTGTTTTTGTTCTTTTATCACTTTGGGCTCCTGGTGCTGGGTCACGCTGTTGCTAATAAGTTACTCTGTTGTGCATTTATGAAGAAGGTAAAATAATTTTATTATTATTATTATTATTATTATTAACAGTTAATAAGTGTGGCCTCATTTCAATTCTTCATTTCAATTCTTCTAAAGCACTACTCGGTGCATATGTAGCCAAAAATAAACAAATCTCAAATAGTCAGCAAAAGAGAACAATTCTTTAAATTTGAGAGGGCATAACTGGCCTCCAGACGTATTGAGTGTTCCTTTCGGTCTCTGGGGGAAACAGCCATTTGCACTGTTATTTCAGAGCCCCTGGAGATTAAAAAGCAACATTGACACAAGTCCCCAACTGTTCTGCATCGATAATTGGACTATATTACATACAAATCCAAAGGGAAAAAAAGGACAACTGTAAAATGATAGCCAAACATTGCCGATGGACACTTAATGCTTTCTCTCTGGAGGCTGTTCAGGACCTTCAATTTCTTCAGCTCTGTCATCAAAACCACAGGACTCTCTCGCACTGCCTGGAGGCACAGCTGTTGGGAGAAGCCTCTTTGCTGTCCCGAAAGGAGTGCTGGCACAGCCCCCAGGAGAAGTGCACCATCGCCATGGCATCAGAGCCACCGGGCTGCCCCTCGAGACAGGGAGCATCCCGGTGGCGACCACTCCCCTCCCCACCAGGTTTTATTTATTTATTATTTATTTACTTTGCTTGTATGCCACAGTTTCTCAGCCCGTAGGCGACTCAACGCGGTTCACAACAAGAGCAAAAAGTCAATTCAACAACATACAGAATTTAAAAACCATTAACAGCATAATATACAGGATAATGACACATCAATAACAACACATTAACGTCTCGTAACTAGAATCGTGATCCAATTCGTCATCCATAATTCCGTTTCCTATATTCATCGTGTACATTGCACTGTTTATCCGAACGCCTGTTCAAACAGCCAAGTTTTTAGTTTTCTTCGAAACACCATTAACGAAGGGGCTGATCTAATGTCCATGGGAAGGGCGTTCCACAGCCGAGGAACCACAGAGAAGGCCCTGTCCCTCGTCCCCGCCAGCCGTGCCTGTGATGCAGGTGGGATAGAGAGCAGGGCCTCCTCAGAAGATCTTAGAGTCCTGGTGGGTTCATAGGCAGAGATACGTTCGGATAGGTAGCTTGGGCCAGAACCGTTTAGGGCTTTAAAGGCCAACGCCAGCACTTTGAATTGAGCCCGGTAGCAAATCGGCAGCCAGTGGAGCTGGTGCAGCAAGGGAGTTGTATGCTCCCTGCGCTCCGCTCCTGTTAGTATCATGGCTGCCGAGCGTTGGACTAGTTGGAGCTTCCGAGCCGTCTTCAAAGGCAACCCCACGTAGAGAGCGTTGCAGTAGTCTAAACGGGATGTAACCAGAGCGTGGACTACCGTGGCCAAGTCAGACTTCCCAAGGTACGGGCGCTTACACTTGTTTTGGCTCTCTTCCCCCGCTCTCTTCCCCCGCGCATTTGCCAATGCTGGGAGAGGGATGGTGCAGGGAGTGTGTGCCCGGGGGCCAGTGGAGGGAGCGCACTCCCTGAACTGGCCTTCTTCCCCCATGCACTTGCCAACGCCAGGGAGCGTCCTTCTCCCGGTGTTTGCAAATGCGCAGGGAAAAGGGGCGGTGCAGGGAGCACACTCCCTACACTGGCCCTGGATGCATGCTCCTGGCACCAGTGCAGGAAGGGCCCGCCCAGGGGACGTTGAGAAGTGTGTGGGGGAAGAGGGCCGGTGCAGGGAGCACCCTCCCTCCACCGTCCCCTGGGCATGTGCTTCCTGCACCAATTATTTATTTATTATTTATTTCGGTTGCTTCTACCCCGCCTTTCTCACCCGGGGGGGACTCAGGGCGGCTTACAAAAGTGAGGCACAATTCGATGCCCGCATCACATACAGCAAAAGACAAATACATCATTAAACAACAACAATTCTATCAATAACAGCAATTACCATAAGACAATAATTATAATAGGTAAAAACAACCATAAAACCAATAAAAGCAATAAAAATTCCATACAAACCTCCTTGACGGTCAGCGTTTCACAATCTCATAGTTTAAATTCCCATTCCATAATTGTCAGTCCTTTTAGTCCTATTCATCTGGTTTCCATATCTAATTGTCAGGTTGCCCAAAGGCCTGGTCCCACAACCACGTCTTTACCTTCCTCCTGAAGGTGAGGAGGGATGTTGACGCCCTAATTTCCCCCGGGAGTGAGTTTCACAAGTGAGGGGCCACCACCGAGAAGGCCCTGCTCCTCGTCCCCACCAGTCTCACTTGTGATAGCGGTGGGGTCGAGAGCAGGGCCTCCCCGGATGATCTCAAGTTCCGGGGTGGGACGTAGAGGGAGATACGTTAGGACAGATACACTGGACCGGAACCATAAAGGGTTTTGTAGGTCAACCCAACACCAACCCAACACCGGGAGAAGACCAAGGGGTTTGGCGGCCCAGCACACCCCGCGGGCCGGATAAATGCCCCCAGGGGGCCAGGTTTGGCCCGCGGGCCTTAGTTTGAGGACCTCTGCTCTAGGCACTCCTCTGTCAGAAAAAGCTGTGTTAGATAGAAATGCATTGTCTGTAACTACAGTATGTGAAAAATACAGTTCTAATGGGCATGTGGTCACAGCACATTACACTGAAGGTTTAAGAGAGAGGACAACTGAGTCATGACCATGTGACAGTCATGACGAGAATTGTATTCCCTGTGGGTGTAAAAGGAAGTGGCCGACAGGTGCACAATCTCTTGCACTGCGGACCCCTTGCCATGTGCATGTCTTGCTATGGTTGTAGCTTCTCACTGTGTTGCTGTGAGTATATCTTCGCATATACTGATAGCAGACCCGATGTGTAATTAGTTGTACATAGGTAACAAGTGAAGATTAAAAACCTTCAAAAGGAGTTTGGATGAAATCCAGAGCTCAAGTGTGGCTTATTAAAGTGGTGAGCGGCAAACACGGTCAGAGACCGTTCTGTAAATCTCTGCTAACTACAGATAAAGACTCTGCAGTGTTTTTGGTTGGATCTAACGGCTTGCCTTGAGTCAGTCAGTCCCACGTGCAGCTCAGGGAGGATGTGAGAGAAGGAACTAATTCGCATACCCACTTATCGAGCGGGTGATGCGATTGAAAATGTTTTAGTAATGAGACACTGAGTATTTATGTGTTTACTGGTTTTATATGACTTTATCATATATGTTAATGGTTTTTAATGGTAATTTATGTTTTTGGGGGCCTTGAATTGTCCCGACTGTAACCCGCCTTGAGTCGCCTTCGGGCTGAGAAAGGCGGTTAATAAATACGGTAAATAAATAATAAAATAAAGCTCGCTCATGTATATTGACTGGCACATCCCTTTTGCAGAGCACTACACCAGACTGCAAAATAGCAGCGGCTGGGGAGAAGAACTTCGACAAAAGCCCCACGAAAACAAGGCAGCCGCGGAAAGTGGATCTCCGAGCTCGATACTGGGCATTCCTTTTCGATAACCTGAGGCGTGCGGTGGATGAGATCTACGTCACTTGCGAGTCAGACCAGAGTGTAGTCGAGTGCAAGGTAAGACTCATCTGGTAGCATGATGGATACTTAATTAAGCCTTCGTCACTACAGGCCGGTCTACCGATGAAGGCGTCTCAGTTTCAGTTATTGGAAGCGTCATGAGACAACAAAATAATCTACCATATATACTTGAGTATAAGCCGACCCAAATATAAGCCAAGGCACATAATTGTACGTATTGACTTAAGTATAAGCCAAGGGTGGAAAATGCAGCAGCTACTAGTCAATTCCAAAATAAAAATAGATACCCATAAAATTACATTAATTGAGGCATCAGTAGGTTCAGTATTTTTGAATATTTACATATATTGTAATTTAAGATAAGACTGCCGAACTCTGATTAATAATAATAATAATAATAATAATAATAATAATAATAATAATAATAAATAGTTGTTCTGTCCCGCGCTGGGCCTGTAAAGAATTGTCTTCAAACTAGGACTTGCAACTTGAGCCCAGCGGGAAGCCAGGAGCCCCCGAAGAGAAGCTCTCAGGGATTTTCCACCACAAATGGTCTTTAGATGGCTTGTGAAGTATAACAAAGTCCTTTATTAATGAACAATCAAACAGAAACTTTTCTTGTCTTCAGTAAAGTTAAACAAATGCTTCTAGGCTTTTATGCAACTGGTGGCTTCCTAATCTTGTCCATGAAGGACAGGCAATTGTCTTCAGTAACTGTTACTTTACTTTAAGGAAAATCCCTTTTTAACTTCTCCCAGGCTGACTGTAATCTAAGCCTTACTGATGTGGGCTCCGCTACCGGGTCGAACTGCATCTCGAGCACCGAGTGGACCTACCAGTAAGGCCAGTAGATTCTCCAGCTGGAGTTCTTTGGTCTTCCAAACTGTTTACCCTCCGAAATTCCTCAAAGCTTTAGGGCTGTTTCCCTGGAAATCTTTGGAGATCTTTGGATGCTCTTAAGACTGTTCTCCCCCGGAAAGTCTTAAGGGTTGAAGCTTTTGTACAGGAGAAGCTTGTACACGTCCTCTAAATTAGCTTTCCTTACTGAGACTAACTAAAAATGGCTCCCTTCCCAATTGCCCTGAACAAGGGGCGGAACCAAAACTTAACGATGATGGACAGGTGACTTGCCCTACGACTGCAACCAAAGGAAGCCACCTTTCTGCAGAATCGCTGAAACCTTGGACTCCAAGCAAACATTTAATACAAAGCAAATAAAGTTGGAGTTCCTGGTACAGCCGTACCAGCACAATAGTAATTCGAACTGCAAAGACTCTGGCACAAACCCGTAAGGTGGCCCCAGTGGTGATTGGCACACTGGGTGCAGTGCCTAAAGACCTTGGCCTGCACTTAAACACAATCGGCGCTGACAAAATTACCATCTGCCAACTGCAAAAGGCCACCTTACTGGGATCTGCACGCATTATTTGCTGATACATCACACAGTCCTAGACACTTGGGAAGTGTCCGACGTGTGATCCAATTCAACAGCCAGCAGAGTGTCTGCTGTGGACTCATCTTGTTGTGTTTAAAATAATAATAATAATAATAATAATAATAATAATAATAATAATAATAATAATAGACACTTGGGAAGTGTCCAACGTGTGATCCAATTCAACAGCCAGCAAAGTGTCTGCTGTGGACTCATCTTGTTGTGTTTCTAATAATAATAATAATAATAATAATAATAATAATAATAATAATATTTATTTGTACCCTGCCACCATCTCTCCAAAGGAGACTCAGGGCAGCTAACATGAGGCCAAGCCCAAAAATACAATACAGCACAATAAAATACAGAATGCAGACAACAAAAATTTACATCAGAAAATACTTAGAGTAGCAAAATAAAATAAATTTATTAAGTTTATTCTAACCTTCTTGAGTGTAAGTGTGCTTCCATATCCTTCCAATAATAATAAAGAGAGTAAAATAATAAATGTGACAATAAAAATAATAATAGGGTAAACTAATGGAAACGTAATCATAATAAATAATAAATGTAATAATAATAATAAAATAGAATAATAAATGTATTAACAACAATAATAAAGTAAAATAATAAATACAATAATAATAGAGTAAAATAATAAATGTAATAATAATAATAATAAGTAAAATTAATAATAGAAAATAATAAATGAGAATAATAATAGAGTAATAATAATGTAATAATACAATAATAAATAAGATGATTGACTCATTTTATCCAATGCCATTGAGTTGTAGAAATTACAGCTGTTTTGGTATTGAAAATGCAAATTTGAAGTAGACTATTGTCATATAAAGGGGCCCCCGGTGGCGCAGTGGGTTAAAGCACTGAGCTGCTGAGCTTGTTGATCGAAAGGTCGCAGGTTCGATTCCGGGGAGTGGCGTGAGCTTCCGCTTCTGCCAACCTAGCAGTTCAAAAACATGCAAATGTGAGTAGATCAATAGGTACCGCTCTGGCGGGAAGGTAACGGCGCTCCATGCAGTCATGCCGGCCACATGACCTTGGAGGTGTCTACGGACAACGCTGGCTCTTCGGCTTATAAATGGAGATGAGCACCACACCCCAGAGTCAGACATGACTGGACTTAATGTCAGGGGACTACCTTTACCTTTACTTTTAGGGTAAAATAATGTAAATGTAATAATAATAATAACAAATAGAGAAAAATAATAAATGTACAGTAGAATCTCGCTTATCCAACATAAACGGGCCAGAGAACATTGGATAAGCGAAAATGTTGGATAATAAGGAGGGATTAATGAAAAGCCTATTAAATGCCAAATTACGTTATGATTTTACAAATTAAGCACCAAAACATCATGTTTTACAACAAATCAACAGAAAAACAAACGGTTCAATACACGGTAACGTTATGTAGTAATTATTTACGAATTTAGTACCAAAACATTGCAATGTATTGAAAACGTTGACTATATAGATAAACAGCTGTGGGTGGGAGGCAGACTGCATTGTATAATACAGAATGTTTGGATAAGCGAGACATTTATTATTTTACTCTATTAATAATAATAATAATAATAATAATAGAGTAAAATAATAAATGTAATAATAATAATAATAATAGAGTAAAATAATAACAGGGTAAAATAATTATTTATTTATTTACGGCATTTATATGCCGCCCTTCTCACCCCGAAGGGGACTCAGAGCGGCTTACAATATATATTTTCATACAATATATTATTTTATTAGCATAGTACAATATCAATATATATTACAATATTGCACTATACCATTATATTGTAATATTATTAGTAATATTACATGTGATGTAAATATATAATTATAATTATAATATTGAATTATTATTACTAGTATTATATTGTATTATATTATAATATTACAAATTAATAATATTATAATGTAATAATTAATAACTTTGACTTGAGTATAAGCCAAGGGGGGCTTTTTAAGAAAAGGGCTCAAAAACTCTGCTTATATTCGAGTATATACAGTACTTCCTTGATGTTAGAAGGTGTTAATCGTCTTCCCTACTTATGGATTGTATATTCTGCGGATATGGGTCCTATATTTCCGTCTGCCCCTACCTTCCTTTCATTGACAGTGTTAAATCCTGAGTGTTATCAACTGGCATGTTTTACTTAAACATAATATAGTTAGATATAGGAAAAAACCAGTTTGTTTCATTTCTGAAATAACACTATGTAACAAAATTTTGGAAAAAAACTGTTCCTGGTTTGAAAGTGAATGAATGAATTGTTGATTGTACCAGCCACAGGCCATGACATCACATAGAATCATAGAATCAAAGAGTTGGAAGAGACCTCATGGGCCATCCAGTCCAGCCCCCTGCCAAGAAGCAGGAATATTGCATTCAAATCACCCCTGACAGATGGCCATCCAGCCTCTGTTTAAAAGCTTCCAAAGAAGGAGCCTCCACCACACTCCGGGGCAGAGAGTTCCACTGCTGAACGGCTCTCACAGTCAGGAAGTTCTTCCTCATGTTCAGATGGAATCTCCTCTCTTGTAGTTTGAAGCCATTGTTCCATTGCGTCCTAGTCTCCAAGGAAGCAGAAAACAAGCTTGCTCCCTCCTCCCTGTGGCTTCCTCTCACATATTTATACATGGCTATCATATATACAACCTTTAAAATACAATAAGCACTTTATAAATATTAAAACCTATTTCATATACTGGCTCTTTAAAATTGTAGTGGCAGCGACATGATAACAGTAACAAATGTCTGGTTTGGATCATCCCAAACTATCTCCATTTCCATTTCTAGCCTCCACTGCGGACTTTACTAATATAGTTCAGAATTTTTGGGCTGCAAATGTGGCGACCTTTAATGTTATATTTTTGGAATAATCTGCTAACAAGTCACAGATAACTGCTGATTGTTGCCGTGCTGCCCTTTCTTCCAAAAGGGCTCCCAGAAGATTGTTTTGAGGGTCATTGTACAAAGGGCAATGCAACAGATAGTGTATTAAATCCTTTCTTTCTCCAGACCCACAAATACGAAGTTGTTGGGCATGGGGGATCTCTCTTTTTCTTCCCTCTAGCCAGCCTGATGGCATTGTTTGGAAGCGCAGGACTGTAAATGCTTTTCTAAGGTCCACAGACATTAAATCTTGAAGATATTGTTGACAATATTGGTCACTCTTTAGTAGAGGATACCAAGTGGTGGAACCCTGCTGTTTACTAGTCCGCAAGCTGTCAATTGCATCCCTCTCAAAGGTTTTGTCTCTAATCGCCTTCTTGTTTGACTGCATTAGGGTTGTTGTTGACCCATCAAAATACAGGTGGAGCAGAGCTAACCAGTGTTGAGCCCAACCTCCTCGCTCATATTGCTCCATCAAGCATTGCTTTGTTATACTCTCATCATTTCCAAAAGTCTCTTCCCATATGAAATGTGAGTTTTTAAAAAGAGATGTGTGTTTTCCGGGCTGTAGAAGTGTTATTCCTGTTTAGTTGTGCACTCTTTACTTTGAAAGTAGTTGTTTGTTCTCAAGAAATGTTGTTTTTATGGCAACCACAAACTAGACTGAATCGGTTGAGA